GACTCAAACCGCAATCATTCTAGATCTTTGTTTCCTGAGTAGTTAGGATTATAGGCATAAGCCACTTTGCATCTCCCTCTTGTGATGAAAGGAGGCTGAGACCTAGAGAATCAAGGTTTAAAGCCCTGGCAGAAAAATAAAAAAACCCAACAAAATGCCAGATAGTGGGCTGGGAAGGTGGCTCAGTGGTAGGGTGCTTGCTCACATGCATGAGGCCCTGGGTTTCAATTCCTCAGCATCACATAGACAATAAAAAAGCTGGAAGTGGGCTCTGTGGCTCAAGTAAACTGCTAGCCTTGAGCTAAAGAGCTGAGGGACAGCACCCAGGCCTAGAGTTCAAGCCCCACGACTGAAAAAAAAAAAAAAAAGGAAATGTGCTCTTTATCTGACTTACATAACTATAACCCCTTTGTACATCACCTTTATAATAACAATAGAAAATAAATTTAAAAAGATTGCAATCTGTTTAAAAAAATGCCAGGTAGTGTGGGACTCAAGTGGTAGAATGCTAGATGTGAGTAAAAACACTAAGTGAGAGCACAAGAAGTGAAGTTCAAGCCCCAGTACTAGAACAACAACAACAAAACCCCGTTGACTTTGGCTATATTTTTTAATGGTTTGTGGACAGATTTATTAGTATAAATTATTACATATTACTTGACAAATTTATGTGTCTCATGTCTCTAGCAGGAGGACACTAATAACAGCATGACTTATCTTTTCTTCTGATGAACAACAAACTATTATCAAAATGAAGCTATAACAATATAAACATAAAGTAAAACTTGCATAAGGAAAAAAACATTATTAGTTGTCAGCACACAGTATAATAATCATTATCAACATGAAAGGAAATGTTTGGCAAACTTGACCTAATTTATAAACATGGTAGGGAATATTTGCAGATACTTTCTCACTAAATGAAAAAGACAACATTGGTTAAAACACTTCAGAAACTTCCTAAAAATATGTACAAAAATCCTCAAGAGGGGCTGGGAAGGTGGCTCAGTGGTAGAGCGCTTGCCTTGCATGCCTGAGGCCCTGGGTTCGATTCCTCAGCACCACATAAGCA